TCAAAGTGGATGCAGCACGGTGGCACAGTGGGTAGTGCTGTCACCTCACAGCAATAGGGTCGCTGGTTCGAGCCCTGGCTGGGCCAGTTGACATTTCTTTGTGGAATTTTCATGTTATCCCCGAGTCATCCTTATCTCCCACAGTCCTTAGACAAGCGCCATAGGTAAACGAGGTAAGCTAAATTGTAGATAGTGTATGTGTGTATGTCCTGGTCCTCCAGGTTGGGGCTTGAGCTTTGAGTTAATGACTTCTCTTGTAAAATAATTAGATGTTACGAAACGCCTACATGGTGTGGCTAAATATCCCCTTCGATATAAACTGCCCTGGGAGTAAGCAAGTAAGTGCACTCAAAGTTGAACATTTACTTACCATTTATTCAACCTCAAGTGGTTCCAAACCTTTAAGAGTTTGCTTTTTCAGTTGAACACAAAATAAGATAATTTGAAAAATGTTAATAACCTGTAACCATCGACTTCTATAATAAATACAAATACTATAGAAGTCAATGGTTATAGGTTTTCAACATTTTTCAAAGTATCATATTTGTGTTTAACTGAAAAAAGACAACTAAACAGGTTCGTGACTATCTTCAATTTTGGGTGAACTATGACTTTAAGTTGAAACTTTAACTTATAAATAAATCTGTAATGGAAAATGGTGATGGTTTGCTACACAGATTTAAAAAAATTTGACAGAAGGGAGTGTACTTTATTTTATATTTATGTTTTTTTATATTTTATATTTAGAGCAGTGCTTCATAAAATCTATGATGAGGTCAGGCTGGTGGATGTGCTGGAAAGTCAGGATGCTGCACACTTGATGAAGAGACCTGACCTGGGTGTTACATTTAACAAACTCCACTGCTGGACTCTTACAGATTTTTATTATATATATTTTTTATTAGATTTTAAATTAGTGTTGCTGTGTAAATGACTGCAAATGCAGATGTTGAAAAATAAGCATGCCATTCCAGTGTCCTAATGGTCCTGCTATACTTGCTTAGCTTGTCACATTCCTTCTGACGTGCTTCAGCCTAAAATGATTGCTTTCAGCAATGTTTATAAACAATTTTTGTCAACAAGCAACATTTTCAAGATGTGTGTTTTGGGTAGATCATTCTATTAATGTTCTCTCCGAAAACGTGTGAAATAGTGAGTGAGAACTCTGTGTAAAGAAACACCTGTAAGCTATTATTGTGACAATTGCAGCCTTCGACACCTTTCTCATCTCCTTGCTGAATGAGTGCCACTGGGTCTGCATTTTACTTTTTGATGGTGCCTAGCAACTCTCTCAGTTCTCTGCATTTAAAATAAGTCAACAACACAAATTTGAGACGGACAGACAGACAGACAGACAGATAGATAGATAGATAGATAGATATTTTTTATATCTCAAAATATACAACTATTTTTATGTATTATTAAATGTATTTAAACATATGTAAACATTACAATAATTTACTTGAAAATTAATAGTTTCATTACTTAAGAAATGGTCTTAACCCTGCAATACATATTAAAATGTATATGTTATATGAAGGTTGCATTTAAATGTACTATTTTATTATATATTTTATTGTGCCTCACAGTTACAAGATATTTTTTTTTTAAAATTAAGGGTAAAAATATATATTTACTGTATGGGATATACTTAACGAGTGGATTGGTGATCAAGAGGGTATCTGGTTCAAGTCTCGGCTTGGCTAGGATGTCTTTTTTTGTGTAGTGTGCATGTTCTCCTCATGTTCGCTTGAGTTTCTTCCAGATCCTCCGGTTTCCCTCACAGTCCAATGGCATGCGATATAAATGAATTGCCCATAGTGTATGAGTGTGCATGTATATGTGTGACATGGAGCAATTATGGGCATTTCCCAGCACTGGGTGTTTAAGAGTTAGTGTACTCTTAGTGCTGGTTTGCAGCTAGAAGGGCATCTGCTGCATAAAATCTATGCCAGAGTAATTGGTTGTTCATTGCACTGTGGCAACCTTTGGTGGCCGAGAGAGCTTAAAGTGCTACAAATTAAGAAAACACATGCCATTACAAAAAAACGCCAGCAAATTAAGAAAATAACTTCATCTGTTTGACCGTGCACATTAAAAATTTTCACAACGCAAACGTATTTAAAAAAAAAACATGCTGCATTCGCTCATAACCCAAAAACAAAATAATAAAACGCGCTGCGTTTTCTCACATCGAAAACACATTTTTAATAAAACATGCTGCATTTTCTCACAACACTTTCAAATAGCAGGAACAGAATGGAAATGTTTCAAGGAGACCCTAAAATGTTACAGACCTGGCTAATTAGGTTATGGTTATTTAGGCTAATCAAATACAAAAGACAAGAGAATCAGGATGTTAAGATACACAAACAAAAAAACTCACCTTTCAAAGATCACCCACAACTTTACTGAGCAATGGTCACGGCACATCGGTGTCCGTCACGCTTTTGGGTCCCCTTGAAACATTTCCGTTATGTTCTGTTGTTTTTGTGTTGTGTAAAAAAAATGCAACGTTTTGTTTTCAGAAATTGTTTGCGTTGTGTGAAAATGCAGAGCATTTTATTGTGTACACATTGTGAGGATTTGCAGCATGTGTGCTGTCAAATGGATGAAGGTCTTTTCTTAATTTGCTGGCGTTTTTTTTTTTTTTTTAATTGAATATATTTTCTTAAATTGCAGCACGCTCTCTCAGCCACCAGAGTGATCCCTGATAAATCAGTTACCTTAAAACTTTTAATAAACTAAAATTAAGCAGTCAAAGTATTTTTTTGACATTTTACTGAAGGACATGCAGAACAGCACTGTGTCTTCAGCGTACTTTTTGATAACCTCACTGCCAGTTTATATCATTTTTTTATATAATATTTGAGAATGGCTTTTGATCCTGTTACACATGGAAGGACCTCTAAAAAAAATTACATTCTGGATGGAAGTTTTCCAGTTCTTTCAAAAAAAGCAGGGCTAAGTCATTAAAACGGCTAATTCTTATTTGAAAATGACAAGAAAAAATATATATATTTATATTTTATATGGTATTTTATGTTTATTTAAAGATGAAAGATCAAAGTTTTGGCATTTGGAACATTATTTCACATTTTACAATTTCAACATGATATCAAAACAGAATAAAATGTAGGCTCGGTTCTATCCATCAGTAGTTGGATTTATGTGGCCATTGTGCTTCAAAAATGAATGTAAAACTGACTCACTAAAGAAATTGTGAGGTTTGATCAAACTTAACATTGAAATTCTGCATCATTTGATAAAACATAAAATCTAAATAAACTAAACAGACATAGTTAAATTATTCACAACCGCTTTGAATTTCCAGTTCATGTCATCTTCAACTTTTCTAAACTGTAAGAATAACTTGAAGTCAAATTCTACAATAAATGTTGGTATTGATGTCACTGGTTACAGTTTAATACATGCAGATGTAAAAAGTGCTTGTCTATTGGTTTTCTGACTCATTTTCTGTATCTCTCTGGGTTTGAACAAAATATCTCAAAACATTGTACATCTGATTACTGCTGATTAGAGACAAGTGTTCAGACTTTGCTATAAGCCCTAAAATAATCTAGCATAAATTGGTTACCTTGATATGATCATAAGAAATGAGTCATGTGTCTGTATTTAGCCTGTCCCGCAGTTGCTAGGGGAACTACAGACTTCGCCAGCAATTCCTGGACGTCTGTCATGTGGAATCGCCGTACAGTTATCATGGACAGTGTGGTCTATATGTCGTCTCAACTGTTCTCGCTGCAAACCAAGGTTTCAAGAGGTATAATGGTTCATAAAATCACTAAAACGGTTTATTTTGACATGTATTAATAAAAAAAATACTTACAAAGTTAAACATGGCACTGAGACACTTTGTACATTTATGAAAATATGAACAAACTAATAATCCATCATAGAATCTGGAAGAAAGACACAACCTGACAAAAGCCTTGTCGTTTATTCAAGTTTTAGGAAGAACAAATAGTAACTTGACTTCTAGTTGATCATTTGGTATCAGAAGTGGCTTATATGAAAGGCAAAGACCTCTAGATTACGATTATTTTACCAAAATGAAATATGATCATGCCTTGATTTTGAATGATTTAATGGTCTGACTTTGCTTAGACAGAAGTCTTTTCACTTAACAGAAATAATGTTCAGTATAGAATATAAAGTCATGGTGCTGTGGAAAAATAATTCATATAGTGTATGACTCCCATGAGCTTAGAGGACTGTATCCATACACTACATCTCTGCAATGACTCTTGTCTAATGACTTATATATAAAGTCACCTGGAATTGCAAAGAAAGCGTTCTTTCAGGACTCCCAGAGTTCATCAAGATTCTTTAGATTCATCTTCAGTGCCTCCTCCATCTTACCCCAGGTATGCTCAATAATGTTCATGTCTGGTGACTGGGCTGGCCAATCCTGAAACACTTTGACCTTTTTTGCTTTCAGGAACTTTGGTGTGGAGGCTGAAGTATGAGAAGGAGCGCTATCCTGCTGAAGAATTTGCCCTCTCCTGTGATTTGTAATGTAATGGGCAGACCAAATGTCTTGATACCTCAGGCTGTTGATGTTTCCATCCACTCTGCAGATCTCTCATACACCCCCATACTGAATGTAACCCCAAGCCATGATTTTTCCTTTACCAAATTTGACAAATTTCTGTGAGAATAGGTCCATGCAGGTTATCTGCAGTATTTGTAATGATTGGGATGCAGTTCAACAGATGATTCATCAGAAAAAGATTTACCTTTTGCCACTTTTCCAAATGATCAACTAGGAGGCAAGTTTTTATTTGTTGCTCTTACAACTGGGATCGATGACAAGACTTTTGTTATGTAGTGTATAGCCATGGTTTCACATTGGAAAAATGGAACAAATACAAGGTCTGACAATGAACACAAAGAAAATGTGCTACTCTTCAGTACTTCTAATTACAATGACATTAAAAAGGAAGAATAAAAAGGTGGATGTGCTCATCCTCATCAATCTAATACTTCTGGTCAATGTTCTGAGGTTGTATTTTTGTCTTGCTCGGACACAGTAATTTGCTGAAGGCTCTTTTGAAGCTGCTGTGACACAGGGGATACAGGATTGGGTTGATGGACGAGTTGATCCACAGCAGCCAGAATGAGATCTCATAAAGGTAATGTTGGACACACTGACCATGACACGCAGCCCTAATGATCATCAACAGTGTGTAGGGCGCCCAACAGAGTCCAAACACACAAACTATCACCGCCAGAGACTTGGCCACCTTTTTATCTCTAGAAAGGCGGAAACGGTTGGCTAGACTGGCCACCATGTCCGGACGGTGTCTGTGTGGTCCAGCTGAATGATCCACGTAATGAAACTGAGCCTCGCTGGCCGCCAGAATCCGCTCTTCCACCTGCAGAGGAGGCAAGTCTGCGAGAGTGCTGTCTCTTCGTTTGGACTGTCTGCCATTGCCGAACTCTGCGGCGGACACTTTAGCGGTTGAAGCCAATCGGCAGCACCGTGACCTCGAGGCCAAGTCTGCGACCCTGCTTTCCTCCACAGGCCTCACGAAAAACACTCGCTGGACATCGCCAGCACCAAGAGGCTTCATCTTGAAGCTCCTGAGCCGAACGTAAGTGGGCTGTTCCTCCCTCATGGCGCACCTGTTGCGGATGTTGATGTAAATGCTGAGGTTGAAGTAAGTGACGCTTATGAACGGCGTGAAGAACTCCACAGTGGAGGCAGTCATCAGAAAATACCAGTTGAAGTAAAATTCGGCATAGCACTCTCCGTCTGGCACTACGCTTCCTCCTGTGATGTGTTCCCAGCTGATAATAGCGGGGCCATAAAGGAGGAACGCAGCCAGCCACACGCACAGCATCTTCAGAACAGCGTCCTTGGTGATCCCCTTCTGACAGCGGTAGCTCACCTGCAATGCACACATTTGTAGCTGAATTCTTAGGCGGATTACACTTGAGGATGGATGGACAGATTAAATGACTTGAACATTACACTCTGGTTGCTAGCTGAAATAATTAAACATTCTGATTAAATGGACGTCACAGTGCATTTGTCTCAGGCAGACATGAGGAGATTCACGCTTTTGTGAGCGTCTGCCTACTGGGATGTAAATAAATGTTGACAGATGATTGCTAAATGTAAATGTGTGTGTGTTTCTGTTCAAGTTATGTACATTTGATGATGTGTAAAAACATCTAGTGCTGGACTAAATCATTCAGATGACGTGATTACTTCTTAGTTTAAATCTAAACATTAAATATATTCACTGTGGAATTATACGTGTAATCCACTTCTGACATTTACTGTGTTGTGCTTTATTTTTGTGTATAGGCAACTTGTTACTGACAGAAAAAGCTCCAAAACAATGTTGGACCCCATTGACATGTAATGTGTGGACAAACAACCTTTTTACATTTTTGGTTCAGAAAAAAATGTTGTGCAGCTTTGGAATGACATGAGGATGAGTAAATGATGTCATAATTTTCATATTTTGGTAAACATGGCCTCATCCTTGTACTGTTGTTATTTTGTGCTCATCTCAGTGGTATTAAAGGGATATTTCTCCGCCAAAAAATGTGTTTTTTTCTTCTGTTGAACACAAAATAGTATATTCTGCAGATTGCTAGAAAAAAAGCATACATTGACACCTGTAGTAGGAGCAAAATATACTTTGCAATACAATAGCTGTTTTTTCATACATTCTTCTGTATGTCTACCATTGTGTTCAACTGAAGAAGGAACATTACCTGGTTTGGACACATGTAGGATGAGTAAATAATGACACAATTAAACAAATAAATGCAGTTATTGTCAATTGTGGTTTAGGTGTGTAAGTTTGAATTTCCATTCTCGAACACCAATCAGGTCTGACAAATCAGCCGTGTTTTAAAACGTTGATCATAAATGTTCTTGGTGTTCACATTGCAGCGTTTCAGAAAGAATGCATTTAAATGTATTTTGTTTCAAATGAAAATTTTGTCATCATTTACTCCCCATCAAACCTGTTTCGTCCTTTTGTTGAGCACAATAGATATTTGGAAGAATGTTTAAAAGCTGTAGCCACTGACTTAAGAATTTTTTTATTTTTTTTATTATTATTTTTTTTTGTTGTTGTTGTTGAGATTTTGTGTTTTATCTATGGTCGTCAACTGCTACCTGTTTCCAACATCCTTCAAAATACTTTATTTGTGTTCAAAAGAAAATGATTTAGACCCACTTCGTAAACTGTAAATAAATGTTAATTATTGGGTAACCATTCTATATATGGAGAGCTTTATTGGCATTGATGGTTTCCAGAAAGACCTTTAAACTTTTTCATCCCCGAAAAGGTCTTTTGTGCAGTAAAAATTGATTGAATATTAATAATGTTCTTCACACCGAGAAAATTAATTCTTCATAAGTTAATTTGTTTTGGTGGGGGAACCAAAATGGTTTTTCATATATGAAATCACTTCGAATACACGCGTTTGTAAGAGTCTAATAAATATCTCCGAAGGACAGTAGGTGTGGGGGTTTGCGCAGGACTCACCGCTTTCGTGACGGACTGAAACCTGTCGAAACTGATGAGCACGATGTTGAAGACTGACGCGGTGCACAACATATAATCCACCACCAGCCACAGTTTGCACAGCCCTCTGCCCAGTCTCCACTCACCCGTCAGGACGTACGGAATATACACGGGGATGCAAAACCCGCCTGAAAATCCATTAAAAACACACATAAACACTTGAGGCTCACGAAATCCCTATGCACACATAGAAACCTCATCAATATCACTCACCGACAAGAAAGTCTGCTATAGCCAAATTCAAAAAGAAAAAGTTGCCTTGTGTGCGTAAACTTTTCTCCACCACAAAGGCTAAAATGACTAGCGCGTTCCCAAGGACGGTGGCGAACACCAGCAGTGTCATGAGCACCGTCAGGAATATGGAGGTGGATGGAGAAAACTGGCCGTACTGCGCGCGCCGGTTCTCAAAGGTGTCCAAGTCTGCGAGACTCGTCGCGTTTTCTCTCTCCATCCCAGACCAGTTGGACGACTGATGGTTTCCTGATTTCCACATCAATGAAACAGCTGTAGGTATCCCGGGAGAGTGCGCCACGGACAATAAAGAGGACTGCATTGTGCTTTGCCGCTTTCAACAAGCAATTATGCTTGACGGTGTGCGCGTAAAATCGTCCGCGCCATCCGCGCGCCCGACGGAGACTGCGAGCTGCTCATTCACAGTTCGGAGCGCGGCGCGGCGAACGCGGCTTTTATATCAGCGTGGAAGCGCGTTGATTGGCTGCTGATTGAACGCCGCTCGGTCTGATGTCGATGACTGCGTTAGTTATAAGTGTTCATCCAGGATTGCTTAAGGGTGTCAAACGCCCAGCTCTTGTTGTCATAGATGCTCTGCATCTCTGTGATAACAGTCCAGTTTTCTGTATCACCGCCTCCCACAGCATGCCCGATTTAACTTGCTCAGAAATCCAATCCAAGAGTCGATTAAAATCAGAAGTGTAAAATCTCCTGAAAAGGAAATGACTAAAGCAAATGTGATCAGTCTTGGCTGGTCACCCACTCGGTCAGACTAGTGGTCAGGGCATTTAATCGTTAATCGCCTGACCAAGCTTGTTTTCACTCGATTTAACCGACTAAACCATGCCTAAAAACCTCTGGGTCGGTCCACAGAAACTTTCTTTTTGGGATGGAAAAGGAGAATGGGAATGTCCAAAAATCTATATTTAACCTAACATTTAAACTTAGACCATATTATTCAATCAATATCTGACTTCATGAAAACACATAAATGAGATATTAAAATTTAGTACATTTTTGAAGATTTTGTCACTGGTGTTAGGCCTATTTTTGCCAATAAAGGTTTAATAAAATATTCTTTAGAATGAAAAGAAGAAAGACATGTCTGACTGTGGGCGAGGCAGTAGTGCAGTAGGTAGTGCTGTCGCCTCACAGCCAGAAGATCGCTGGTTTGGACCTCGGCTCAGTTGGGGTTTCTGTTTGGAGTTTGCATGTTCTCCCTGCCTTTGCGTGGGTTGCCTCCGGGTGCTCAGTCCAAAGACATGCGGCACAGGTGAATTGGGTTGGCTAAATTGTCCGTAGTGTATTAGTGTGTGTGTGGATGTTTCCCAGAGATGGGTTGCGGCTGGAAGGGCATCCGCTGCGTAAAAACGTGCTGGATAAATTGACGGTTCATTTCGCTGTGGCGACCCCAGATTAATAAAGGGACTAATCCGACAAAAAAATGAATGAATGAATGTCTGACTGTGACATTCAGTCAGAGTTACAGGAAAATAATAACGTTTGTTATTAAATAATTAATTTGTTATTATATTAATCATGTTTGTTAAAAGTGCTATTTAAATTTGTTAGTGAGGGTTATTTTTAACATTCCCAAACAACAAAGGAGGTCATACCACCAGTCACACCAACTAAAAGCTTTTTATGAAATCATGAGATACATATGACAAACATCTGATAGCTGAAAAGAGACAATGGAGTTATAAATAAGAAATGGTTGACCATGTTTTACTGTTTTAAAAATGACTGTTAAAGTAATTTTAAGAATCTTTTTGATAATGGTTTACATTACACACAATTGTTGGTTTACAAAAAAATCTAACAAACATAATCCTGTTGCACTATTAAACTTGATCCTTGATTTTATTGTATTTTATTGATTTTATTCATACACTTGATTTTATTTTTAAAAATGTTAAATGAGAATCCAAAATATGGCATACTTTAAAAAATAAAGATGATTTGGTATTCAAAACATTTTTATTTTAATTTTTTATCTATGTTATCTTTTTCTTTTATCATACATTTCATATTTTCTGAATTTCATAATATATTATATAGTATAGTATACTTCATAGTATTAATTCCGGTACTTTAACCATAAACCGACATATCTACCATTTGCTAGAGCCTGATATTTTAGAAACTATGAGACGTGTTGAAATAAAATGCATTGAGCATGTTAACTAGCTACATTAGGAGCTAAGAAAGGCAATCTAAACTTTTTTTTGGTGGGGTAGTTAAAGGGTTATTGAAAAAACACAATGACTAATAATAAGCCTATAAAGAGTTTTCCAAGAATAATATTTCTATTAAACAGACATTTCTGTGGAATGACCTTATACGGTAGGACTAGTAAAGCAGGCTACGCTATTGAATATTATTACTGCCCTATTTATAATGGATTTAGTGTTGTCTAATCCTCTGGTGTACTGTGTATGTGGGAGCCACACACCTCAAATATGAAGTATATTATAAAAAGAGTTCATCAAACTTGCCACACTTTTGAAACATGATAAGTCGAACCAAAAGACAATGTTTTGTGGTAAACAACCTGATTCAAATAACAAAATTCAGTGTCGAATAGTGCTGTTGACTCAATTTGACGGGAACTCTTGGTGTAGATTAGATTTTCACTGCTGTGTGCTTTTGTGCTCGATCTGTAAATTGTACCACCATCATTGACAGCCATTTTTTTACAATGATTAAAAAGTTTACAGATCAAGTCCATTATTTTTCATATTACTCCAATGACGTTCTGTAGTGTATTTTTCCAAAACTCCTCTGTTTTTCAGTATCAAGTGCCTGAACAGAAGCAGAGGGATAAGGATCTTGATGTCTTCATCAGTATAGCTCAACATCTCAGAGATTATCCTCACACCCACGGCAAGGTAAAATCCTGCAATCATACACCAGCAGAACGAATAGCAGCTTTACCTGTGAATAGTGGTGCTTATTTTGGGAGATTACCTTGCCTAAACGGTTCTGAAACAGCAGATGACATTTACTTTGTACCATCTCGCTGGACCACTAAACCTAAAATGTGATATAACAGAGTTTTGTCATAATTAAAAACACTGCGCCTGAAACAAACAGCAAGAAATTAAAGTAAATGGCCAGGAAGGTCAAGTAAATGCATGGAGAATTAAATGCCACATCTCTTGAGAATCAACTAAAGAGACGTGAAAGCTGCTCCGGGACTAATGAGCAACTGCGTAGAAAACACACAGCTGCTTTTTTAGCAGTACACAGAAAGACGTTATGTTGCGTTTAACTATTCATGCACTGTTTAATAACGTAAATCCATTGCATAAGTAATGAAGTAATGATCAGCTTTTACATTGAAATAATACACTTCTCTTTTTTTGCCAGACTCTCTGTCTCTCTGAATAGACCATAATCATTTCATCTTAAGCCTGTCTGATATCCTCTTGTGAAATCATATTCAGGTCACGGAGTGAATAGACCGCAAAGACAAAGTAAACACGGCCTGTTGTGAATGATTGACTGACCACTGCAGAAATAGAGAGCATTTAAGCTTTTGTGAGAGAGCATCTTGTTTTTGGAGCTGGCACATTGTGAGTTGTCATATTCCCTTCTGGATCTGTAGTCCCATTGTCATCTTAGAAGGCACAAAAGCATTTTTGTTGAACACCTTGCGCTCTTTCTGAGAGTCAGTAATGAGAGACTTTATGAGAGATGTTTCTGTATACAGATGTGCTGAGAGATGGCACACAAAGAACCCGAAATGAACCGAAATAAACAACATGAGAGTCAGTGTATGGGGTGCAAAACCTTTCCAAAAAAGCATTAAGGCCTTCTTAACAATCATCAATTTGACCGGCATTCATTGAGAAACATCTGGCTATGAAGGGAAATTAGACAATGACGAGATGCTACAAAACCTACTTGAGTTTACCAAAATAGATAATCATGGTGCTTGTGTTGTACCAAACAGTAACAGATGTGTAGTCTCTCCACACACTTACATCACAGTCTCTCTCTCTCTCTTTTTCTGCTCACCTCATTCACAAACACTCACTAATTCATGTTAATTGCAAGAAGTGGGGACCATAGGCATATCATGTGAATGACGGTTTGGAAGCATCACATAATTATAGGCTGAAGTTTCTGGTCTTCCTGTTCATCGGTTTTTTCTTGGCTTTCATATGTTTCCTCGCAGGAAGGAGACGTCTTTTTCACAAAAGATGGAGAGATGTTTTATTCAGAAAGCAGAAGCCTGTCTATATGCAAACTCCTGCTCTGATCTGAAGTTTTGTTGAGGGATTTAAGTGGTTAGCTACAAATGTGCTTATAATAGTCGATTGTAAAACCATTGCAAATGAGATGTAAAATATAGAATAAATATAAAAGGCTAATCACAGTTCTTAAAGACATGTCTGAAAGACAAATCCTTACAAATACACGATAACTGTGCCAAGGCCCTTTTCAGTTTTTCACTTTGCTCATTCATTCTTTTTCCTTTGGCTTAGTCCCATTAGTAATCAGGGGTCGCCACAGTGGAATGAACTGTCAACTTATCCTGCATATACAGTGGATGCCCTTCCAGCTGCAACCCAGTACTAGGACACACCTATACACTGCATATGCACTCATACACTACAGCAATTTTAGTTTAATTGATTCACTTATAGCGCATGTCTTTGGACTGTAGGAAAAACCGAAGCACTCAGAGGAAACTTACACGAACACAGGGAGAACATACAAACTCCATAGAGAAATGACAACTGTCATTGGTGTCACAACAGCCACTGTGTCACACACACACTTTTCACTTTCTAAGTTTTGTGACAGTATTTTTGGAATGGTTAATTCACCCAAAAATTTAAATATCATCATGAATTACTCTTATGCTGTTCCAAACCCAAGACCTTTGTTCATCTTCAGAACACAACTGAAGACATTTATATATATAAAAAAAAAAATCTGACAGGTTTTTGTCTCTCCAATGACAGCCTACATTGTGAAAACATCGCTGAGTTAGTTCATGTTACTCCATAAGGACATAACAAACATAAAAGGATTAGTTCACACCCACCTCCCCTCCAAAAAAAAATCTATTACTCACCCTTGTGTCTTTCCAGACCCCTGAGATATTTGTTCATCTTCAGAACACAAAATAAGATATTTTAGATTAAATCAATGAAACTCCAGAAATCTTGTTTATTTCTAGATTTAATTTTATTCTTTATAATGTATGTTTTATCAAAGCACGTTAACATTAATGAAGTTCTGATGAATTAAACATCTTGACTTTAGTTCAGTTCAGTGTAATGCAAATGTCACTGCTGAAAGAACAAA